TGTGGCATTTTTTTGAAAAATAAAATATTTTTTTACCTTTTTAAGAATATTACTTTTTAGATATTTTTTTCCGAATATAATTTATAATAAAACTTGGATAGAACGACATTATTTAGGCTAAATATTTTGATTTGGCCAAAAATAATAAAGTTTTAGTTAATCTTTTTTTGAATTTGATCTAAAAATAAAGATTTATACAACTGAAATAAATAGTCAAGATATCTAAAAAGCTATAAAAAATACATAGTTTGAAATTAATTATTTTGACTATAATTTTTTATATATCTCTAAATTACGATGCTCTAATTTTGTTTTTTACATATTTACCTAAAAAAGTAAAAATACACAGTTAAAATAAATAGTCATTGCATCAAAAGAAGAAATAAAAAGAGTGTACAATCTTTATTGCTGCAATTGTACACTCTTTTTATTTCTTCTTTTGATGCAATGACTATTTATTTTAACTGTGTATTTTTACTTTTTTAGGTAAATATGTAAAAAACAAAATTAGAGCATCGTAATTTAGAGATATATAAAAAATTATAGTCAAAATAATTAATTTCAAACTATGTATTTTTTATAGCTTTTTAGATATCTTGACTATTTATTTCAGTTGTATAAATCTTTATTTTCAGGTCAAATTCAAAAAAAGATTAACTAAAATTGGCCAAATAAAAATATTTAGCCTAAATAATGTAGTTATATCCAAGTTTTATTATAAATTTTATTCGAAAAAAATTATCTAAAAAAGTAGATCTTAAAAAGGTAAAAAAAAATATTTTATTTTTCCAAAAAATGCCACATAGACAGAAAAATTCACGTGGCAGACGAGTGCACCCACACTTTTTGCCACATCAACGTCTAGGGGGTAATGGCCCTCAAAAGGCCAAGTTGAGGGGGGTAATTAAGACCGGACATAGTTCGGGGAGGATACTAATAATCTGAGCCAAGTTTAGGAGTGGTTTAAGGTATTTTGCCTTTTATTTTTCTTTGTTTTTGTTCTTTCCCTTCCCTCTTATTTCAGTCACCTGAAATGACCAAGATTCTTTATGCCCTCAGATCATTAGTCGAAGCAATCTTATAGTTGCGACTTCTGAGGACTTGTCAGGTGATTTTCTTAAAAAGCAAAGAAAAGGCATATTATACAGGCTATAATTGCTGAGAGTAGCAAACAATTTGTCGGGCTAGTAAGCCACCATGTTTACATTAAATGAAAGAAAAGAGACATCATGGTCTTTTACATAGTAGCTAAATATCCCCCTAGCCCACTGCCATATAACTAGGTAATTAACTGTATATATCAAATGAAATAATACAAACCTCATGGTCTTTGACATAATAACCAAATATCTCCTTAGCCCACTAGCCTATAATTAGGTGCAAAGCTGAATTTATGAACTTACAGATACTAGAATACGTCCATATTTTCCAAATGCAGCTTCTCCCATGTCCGGAAATGATGTAATTCCCTCTTTGCTTTCAAAGCAATATCGCATAAGACAAGCAGTATAACAACAGACTACTGCAAAAAGAACAAGCACTGCCATGCTTGCCCAACCTGCTTGTTTCACTGTATAAGGTGTAGAAAGAAGTCCAACTCCAGCCATGACATTTGTTCCTGTTACATAGCATGAGAAGCCCTTGAAATTCCATAAAATAAAAACAATTCAATTAAGCAAAGAATCACTGGAATGTAATCATGACCAAAAAATTAAAGAAGAAAACCACTATATTGATAACAGGTGCTGCAAATGACGCAAAGGAATAGACCGTTCCCACTAAGTGTAAACTTTTTATTTCATTGATATTTTTCTTTTTCCATTTCTCTTCATCTTTTAACCTTGTTCTATTGTTAACTATATATCCTCTCTAGAGTGCTTCTCTGAGCCCAAATCTTGATCAGAAATTGCAGATAGAATACCATCCAGAAACAAAGGATTTTGCATTCCCAGAAGATTACAGTGAGGATTCTAACCATTGAATATAGTTTGAACAAGGCTACATCCGTGGCTAATTGGAAGTTCTCCCGTGATCATACGTGATGAAACCTTTTCTGGCCATGAAGCTTGTGATCTCCCGGGCACATCAAGGTCGCTTTTCTGGTGACTCTTCCCATCAATAGACAGCAAAGGGGTCTTTACACTCCAAACCAAGTTATTTTGACTAGAGATATCAGAAGTCGAATACTTAAAGCTGGCTACAGGCTGAAAGGATCCAAAGTTTGGTGATGCAGCAATTGTGTAAATATCCATAGACTCCCTGAAAGAAGAATCGGAATTGGGAAACAAAAGAGAATTAAGGCCCGAATAGTTTCAAATGAGTTGAACATAGCTAAACATTTGCCTGTAATCCATCAATCATAAATTATGCCTGTAATTGATGTCACCTGAAGTTACCATATGAATTCTAATTCTAGTACAAGCAGTAGCCATATGAGTGGAAACAAGGTGCATCCAGCGATAGCTTAACACAATAATCTAAATATTTTGATCGAGGTTTTAGTCTGTTCTCTCTACTTTTTCCAAATTTCATTTATACCTGGCAACATCCCAGAGCAATACAAAGATCAGAATCAATTTATCTTCAAATTTCCCACTGTAATAAAACCTTAGTCTAAGCCAAACTTAAGAATGTCACAACCACTAGGAAACACCTTGGAGTGTTAACTCCAACTCATGGGACAAGCCCTACTCAGTAGCCCTTCTGCAATTCACTATGGTTGCACTGAAGTACTTCACAACAGTCCACGGCATCAGCAATTTCTCAGTTCCAACAATACAAATATGAAATAGCTCATACATAAAAATAGTGACAATAAGGAGGCATATACAATTGGAAAACTAACTTTTGTAAGCAATACAACATTTTGTAAATATGAATACTTGATCTTCTACCTTCGCATGGAAGAAAAATGAAACATAGCACATATCTTCTAATTAGTTGGAAATTCATAGAGAACAGTTCAATGTATACCTAAGCTACTACAATTACATCATTTGTAAAAATCACCACAACATTGAACACTTCAGGTTTAGATCTACTTATATTAAATAAATTTTAAGTAGATATTGATGTTAATAGCTCTGTATCAACATATTTAACCTTCTATTTCCCAAGAGGAGTTGGGTTAGCCCTCCGGGCAGCTTACAGGGAGCCAAAATACTACTTGTGCCCTCCATTTACTACCTCGGTTTGTCCCCCCAAACGACCATCAAAAACTTATTATCCCCTTGCAAGCGTTCATGGAACGGTGATGAAATAACAGCGAATGAGCTAATAAGGTCCATCAATTGAGGATTTCAGAGTAACAGAGAAGAAGAATATTCCAGAGAGAGAGAGAATAGGTTGGCTAAAAGCTCTGAGAAGAGTAAAATCATAGTCCTTTTGAATTTTCCCTTGAATATTGCCACCTGTCCCACTGAAACCCCTAAATTTGGCTAATTTCTGAAGGTTAAATGTGCTAGTAACCATAACTTACAGATCTCGCCTCGTGGTTACATCACCAAGGATGTATAAAATTCCTATTCCTGTATAAGTGAAAGCTCCATGATTGTACCGAACTACAAATAGTTTGTCATTCAGAGCACAAATGACTACTGATAGCACGTCACATAGAGGGGAAAGGTAATATTGTCCTTGCGAGTGTTGAATTGCGTGACAACCTCGTATACATTTATTTACTTAATAATATATTTACCACGTCCCTTCACCTGATTACTTTTATAAGCCAAGCACGAAGAAATTCTTTCTTATACTAGATGGTGCCGAGACTTGAACTCTGTACTTTTTCATGCTCTAATATCATGTTGAATTGTATGACATTCTAAAACCATAACCCATTAGATAGAGTACATTTTATTTAATTAATTATGTCTTCAACAGTGAGGTTATGGCAATGCATCTCAACCACATCAAGGTTTGTCTATTCTAGATACTAGCATTCACTGGCAGCCATAATTGAAAGGATCGTGTTGTTTCATTGAAACTGGGAGAGACACAGAGTACATATACAGAAATTGATTTAGTTCAGGAACATGTATAAGCAAGAGTAGAGTCTTACTTACCTGACACTCTTTGGCCATTGTTGAGAAACAAATGAAGAGGAACGAGAAGGCCTACCTTCTCCTTCTTCATGTTCATCATCTTCTGTCATCTCTTCCTCTGTATTAATATGACCAGCTTCAACATTATCATCTGATTCTTCCCAGAAAAACTCATCTTCCTCGTTTTCCCCGTCTTTGTTCCGCGCCATTATTATTTGCAACTCGCAAAATAAAACTAACCAATCAAAGAATCAATCAGAAAACAACAAGAATCATAAGTCCAGTTAGAGAAAGTCTGTTATATAAATATCCAAGAAAAGAAAAACATTACTATGAAATATAGTACATAGAAACGACGAAATGTTGAGGATCGATGAGTTGGAGGATTTCAAGGGTTTTCGGTGGCTGAGAAAGAGGAGGAATCACGAGAGGTGCTGAGGAAGAGACACATATACACTGACGTGCTGCTTCAGCTTAATCAATGAAACTAATTAATATTAACCTTTTTTCCTCTTACAAGTTTAATTGAAACTTCCATACTACAGTAGTTAGGGTGGCTAACACAACTTTTGTACGTTCATGATCATCACGTGCCTATTCGATAATATTGCGAATTGGGACTGAGATTTGGTAATCAGTTATCAAATAAGACAACCAAATTACAACCACCAGTATTCACCTGTGCTTGTGGTATGGGTAAAAATTATCTTCTCCAAGCAGCGTGATAAAAAAGTCCCGCGTGGCAATAAAGATCTAAAAATCAAGTGATGGGACCGTTGCCGAGTTCGGAAGGTTCTGAGCTTGTGGTCATCGAAGGGTCAAGTATTTGGAAGGTGAAAGAATGAATTCGACGACTCAACCAACCTTATCCACAAATCGTGGATATCTACGTTATGCCGAAACGAAAGCCATTATCAAGGATCCCTCTTCCCACTACCTAATCTAGTGGTGTGTTGGCTCGAAATTAGGAATGGTAGTTCTCTTCCAACCGCTATAAAAGCCGCCCCAAGGCTCCAAAGAAAGGGCATCGAAAATCAAAAGGAAAACTCTCTCTCAAACATCATCTTGTGCAAGCCTTTTCCTGACTAAGCCTGGTAAGTCAATCATACTCGCGATTGGAGACCGGTCGGAATTTGAAATAAAGAAGAATTTCTCTGTTGCATCATTTTTTAACCTGTTTTGTTATTTCTTGTTTGTCTTTATTCATTATCTGCAACCATTTTGAATCAAACAAATTGTTAATGGACCTTGAAAAATACAAATTTTATTGTTTAATCTCAAAATCAATTTTTGGGACAAATAGTTTAGCACCCACTGTGTGCCCTTGGAAATTAAAAGTTTGATTCACATCCGCTATTATGCCTACGGTCTCTTCTAACTTTACTTTTTATGTGTTTGTTGAAGGAGAACACCATGTGAGGAACCAATGAGCAACTCAATATTTCCGTAATTGGATGAACGATCGAACGATCTGAAGGAACCCGAACTCCGGACGAATAGTCTACCGGATCTACGCCCCCTCACGACCGAAATGAGTTGGCAGCTATATCTAGTAGCGACTATCCTAATATTCGAGGGTTGGAGAAGAAAGTGCACAATTTCATGTCAGAACAGCCGAAGTTGGAGAAGCCTTGAATGTATGGACGAGTAGAGCAACGGTAATGACGCCAACCCCACCTCAGAGAACGGATGGTGCTGATGGAACCCCCAAATCCAAAACGGCTCACACAACAACTCGGGAGCTTCTAGGAGAAGATAGAGTCGGATGCTCAGGTATGGATTTAACTACTAAATGTCAAGATATTATTCTAACCTTGCAGAGGCAACTCAAGGAATAAAACAAAAAGATTGAACAAATTCCGAGAGTGCCATCGATCGTCAAAAGGATCGATGTGAACAAGTATTCACCGCAGTCGTGGAAGCCCAATGCAACTCCCCGGTGCTGATCCCGAAGAAATTCAAAATGCTCGATATTCCGAAATGTGGCAGTACATGGGAATCTCATGATTATCATGGAGTATACAAGTGGAATCAAAGGGAACGACGTTACGATGGAAGAGGTCAGATCGATGCTCATAAAAAGATATGGGGAGATGATTACAAAAGGAGCTCTAACCTGGTATTAACATTTACCCAAATATTCTAATAGTCTTCCTGAACTTGCAGATCCTTTCATCAAAGCCTATTTGGGAGCGCAAAAGGTGGAAAAATAAGTGAAAGATATCTTCTAGATTATACAACGGAGGACAGAGTCACACTAGGACTTCATTGATCGGCTCCAGAGAGAAAATATGTCGCTTCCGGAGGTTGAAAACAATTGGGCGCTATGGCATTCACTAGGAATCTGAACCTGGACAGTTCAGAGACCTTTCGAAAACTAAAGGAAAGCCTATAAGAATTCCTTGCCAAGACATGTACCGATGTATACCATCAATACAATACATAGCTCAGATAGAAGAAGACATCTCAGTACTTCCCTAATTCAGAGTGAGATATACACACAGATGTGATCACCGACTGGGAGGAATTCACAAACAAGATGAACTTAGGCATCAGGATTCCAGAATACGACACGAACCGTGCCCTATATCCATACGACGTGAGATTGGTCAGCGACAAAGGAATACGCGTGATAACAGGATTTTGGCCGAAGAAATGAGCCACCCATGCACCGGCCTGGGAAAGAACCAGAGACGCCCGGAGTTAGTGATTTTCATTATAGGCCAAATCTCGTAGATTATAGCTCCAACATGAACGTGACGGAGTTAGAATCAGCACTCAAGGATATGAGAGACAAAGTAAGATGGTCGAAAGAGATTAAGTCTGATCCGAGCAAGCGAATCTAGGAATTCTAGTGCAAATTCCATAATGATTACGTACACAAGACTTTGGACTATAGACTCCATTGATGCAAAGTCTATCATTTTCTCAAGGAGGGATACTTAATGAAACTCTTCAATAAAAAGGCGAAGTTATCATACATGAAAAATCGGAACAAGAAGTAGCCATGGAAGGTTCTGGCTCCTAATCAGATCGTCACGTTATCTTTGGAGGAGAAGAAAACGGAGTCAGCTTCACGGCTCCTAAAAAGAAGCATATTCGGCCAACACTAACTGGGAGAGCATAACAATCGACAGCGAAAATGTGGACGAATTGACAATGCCACAGAACGACGCCCTGGTAATTACTTTATGAATTTTTTATACTGACGTGAGAGGAGTTTTAATTGACCCAGGAAGTTTAGCCAACATCATCAAGTCCCAGATGGTTGAAGAAATGGAGATCACCGGTCGGATCATTCCGAAAGTACGATTGCTCTTGGAGTTTAACAACTATAGTGAGATGACTCGTGGGGAAGTAATGTTGGTGACCAATGCTTAAGGGGGAACCAAGGATACCCCATTCTAGGTTGTGGCAGGAGATATGGCTTATAATGTCATCCTAGGGAGGCCATGGATTCATGAGATAGACCCGGTGCCTTCAACTTTACACCAGGTGATAAAATTCCCGTCCAAATGGGGGATACAACAAATTTGTGGAGAACAAAGGGCATCCCGGGTAGTTAATTCAACTGGCGCCACAAATGACATCTCCAAAAAGGAAACTGCCAAATAACAGCTATAGCGATAAGAGGGAGAGAGTGCAACTAATACCCCTAGAATAGGCCCCCTCTGGACAGAATCGTCGAGCACGAGGAAGATGACGTTTCCTCACTGACGGCGGAGCGACTAGAAGAATTAATTCTCTTTATTTTTTGGCCGGGATTTACTCCTAAGTAGAATCATAAGTTAATTAAATTTATTCAAGATAATTCAGATTGTTTCGCTTGGTCTCCTGTAGATATGAAAGGCATCTGATGGATATCATGGTGCATAAATTAAACGAATATCTAAACTACCAACCCGTGAAGCAAAAAAAAAAGAAACATTGGGCTCGAACGAGCCCAAGCGATGGATGAAGAAGTCACCGAGTTGCTCAACCACGACTTTATCCGCGAGGTAAAATACCCAGAATAGCTAGCAAACATTGTGGTGGTGCCCAAAAGGAATGGAAAATGGAGAGCATGCATCAACTACAAAGACTTGAACAAAGCTTGCCCAAAGAATTGCTTTCCCCTACCATTATTAAGCTTTTTGGATGCATACTTGGGATATAACCAGATCAAAATGGACCCAGAGGACCAAGAAAAAACTTCACTTATTACCAATAAATGAACCTATTGCTACAACATCATGCCATTCAGATTAAAAAATGCCAGAGCAACGTACTAGAGATTAGTCACTTGAATATTTCGGGACTACATCGACAGATATATGGAAATATACATTGATGATATATTAGTAAAATAAGTTTGAGCGATGATCATCTATCACACTTGAAGGAAGCCTTCGAAAAAATACAACATAAAACTCAACCCAGAAACGTGTGCCTTCGGGGTCGGTTCAGGTAAAATCCTTGGCTTTCTAGCTTTGAATAGAGGTGTAGAAGCTAACCCTATGTAGATCAAAGAAATTAAGAATATACCTGAAGTGCTAATGACCTAGAGGGAGGTGATGCGACTGATCGAAAAGATAGCGGCACTCGGGCGATTCATATCCCGCTCCTCTGAGAAGTACCACAAAATATTTGTGGCACTAAAGAAGAACAAGAACTTTGAATGGACTACTAAATTCCAATAGGCCCTGTGAGACTTGAAAAGGTACTAATCCAACCCACTTCTTTTGTTGAAACCCAAATTGGGAGAGCGACTCTTGGTTTACCCGACCATGGCAGAAACTGCTGCAAGTGTTTTGTTTGTCTGAGAAAATGAAGGTACGCAATATCCTATTTATTATATAAGGAGAGCATTAATAGATGCTAAACAAGGTATCCTCATTTAGAAAAACTTGCACTAGCAATCGTAATGGTTGCGCAAAAATTTAAGACCATTCTTTCAATGTCGTCCTATTTCGGTGGTCTCTACTTTCCCAATGTGGAGTATTCTCCATAAGCCAAAACTCTCGAAATGAGTGACCAAATGGGCAATCGAATTAAGCGCATATGTTATCACGTATTTGCTCCGAACAACTATAAAATCTCAAGTCCTAGCGAACATCGTTTTAGCACTAATATACTCTCCGAGGCAGAGAAGAAGGCATTAATAGCTTCTGAGACCAGCTCAAAAACCCTGACCCCGTATACAGTTGGTTCATCTAATATGAAAGGGTCTGGGCTCGGAGTTTACTTATCATGATTAGTGTGACAGTCCAACAGTCGATCAAATGCCCTTCACTGACTTACAACGAAGCCAAGTATGAAGCTATTTTTGCAGGACTCGAGCTAGCTCGGGGACTTGGCGCTGAATGAATAGAACTAAAAAATGACTCATAATTGGTCATCAACCCGTCCACTAAACTTTCACTGAAGCTATATCCTTTGATCTTAACTTTCAAACATGCCAATTCAAAATAGCCACCAGCTCCACATCATAAGTCAAATATCTATCTAACTGAACCATGTTAAAGTCCAAAACATGAGACGGATCACCATAATACTTTCGGAGCATAGAAACATGAAACACCGGGTAAACACTCAACATATTAGGTGACAATGCAAGCTTGTAGGACACCTCTCCAATCCTCTCAAGCACCTCAAAAGAACCAATATACCGAGGGCTCAACTTGCCCTTCTTCTCGAACCGCATCATACCCTTCATGGGTGATACTATGAGCAATGCCTTCTCACCCACCATATATGCAACGCTGCGAACCTTCCGATCCGTGTAGCTCTTCTGTCTAGACTATGTTGTGAGAAGCCGATACTCAATCAACTTGACCCTCTCCAAGGCATCTTGAACCAAATCAGTACCCAACAACCTAGCCTCACATGAACCAATCAACTGGAGAATGAAACTGCCTCCCATATAAGGCCTCATAAGGAGACATATGAATACTCTATTGGTAGCTATTGCTGTAGAAAAACTCAGCAAGCGGTAGAAACTGACCCCAAGAACCCCCGAAATCCATAACACAAGCATGTGGCATATCCTCCAATATCTGAATGGAGTGGGCACACAAGCATGTGGCATATCCTTCGCGACACCCGGATGAACGGAATACGATGAACTGTGGGCCTCCTCAAGAATCAACTCACGTAACCCATACACAGTGGGCACACAATTCCGAGCCTGTATCCACAACACCCCATCATCTCCAATAGAAACCTCCTTGGCATCATCGTGTCGTACTATGTCCTTAAGGACAAGAAAATGGGGGTCGTCATACTGACGCTCTTTGATGCGCTCGAATAAAGAAGCCCGAAAAGCCATGCAAGCTAGAACCTGACTATGCTTTGAAATATCTAACCTCATTGTCATTCCTCGAACCTAGGGGGGAGGGGGCGAGATTGGAACCCGGTGCCTCACTTAACCAAGCGTACCAACTTGAGACGGAGGGACTTTGAACATATAATGTCATACTTTGACCATAGGGCTACATTGCAAGATAATTTGTGAAACAAAATATAAAACTGAATGAAAACTTGTTGTGCTTGAACATCAATATAAAGCTGGGCTGACAAGGCTGTCATAACTACTACAGTTGACAAACCAACAAAAATATACATATAAGGCCTACAAGCCCAACATACTGCACTGACTAACAGGGTATGTCTACAAGCCTCTACTGAAAAATGTACTGTGGTTGGAATAGGGCCTCGACCTACCTATAATATATATACACAATATGTACTCAAAAACCTAGACCCGACAACTCCGATAGACCTGGAGCTTCCCGATCAAGCTGAACACGGACAACACCTACGGAGGAAGTCTACCAGTCTATCTATCCAAACCTGCACGCATAAAATGCAGCATCCCCAAGAAAGGGACGTCAGTACGAAATAATGTACCGAGTATGTAGGGTAATAAAATAACCAAAAGTTGAAGCTGAACTGATAATATAATAACTGAAAGTAACTGGGAGTCAAAGATGATCCGAAGATATACTTACCTGCTAATACTGACTCAACTCTCTCCATATAGTAAGTAAAATAGCTGCCCGACCTTATAAGCCTCGGCACGTGTAACTGCTTGGCAGTAGCAGGCTCGCTCATAGGCGCTCGGCCATACTTGGCTCGATATCTCGTCCATTCTGGGCTCGCTCATAGGCACTCGGCCACAGTAGGCTCAGTATATAACTTACCATCTGATCAAAGATCGCCCAATAGGGGCCTGCCCACCGATTATAGCTTGATGGTGGTGAAAATACTGTAATACTATATATATATAGACTCTCTACTCTCTTCGCTGAAAGAAGACAATACTATACTAAATATAAAGTCCCGATAAGGGACAATACTTTTGTAGACATGTAATTTTTGACCCTTCCCAAGATTTTACATATTTTTAGCGTAAATATTTAGTTTAGGTTTAGTATCGCTATTCTAAATAGTTTTGACTCTTTTACTTTATTTGTCACAAAAATAAAAATTACAAAAATAGTTTTTCTTTTATTTAGTTAATTA